GGTACAAACAACAAGCTAACATTAGGTACAAACAACAAGCTAACATTAGGTACAAACAACAAGCTAACATTAGGTACAAACAACAAGCTAACATTAGGTACAAACAACAAGCTTTAGGTACAAACAACAAGGGTTGTGTCTCTGGTTTAAAACGTTCATGGTTCTGTGTCCCCACAGAAAACTTGTGCGTGACAACTTTTCACTTAGCTTCAACTTTGTCTTTGATGAAAACAGGAAGTACTGCCGACATCGCTCCTACTGCTAGCTACTTTGTTAGCGCAGCATTGTTGTGATGAGGTGAGCTCTTCTGGATGGAGCAGCTGGAGCAGAGTCGGTGGACTGCTCATATCAGACTGTTTTTATGCAGGCCGATAAAATCTGATACTTGTTCTTTGGCTGGTATCGGACCGATACCTGATATTAATATCGGATCAGGACACCCCTACCTGCTACAGCAAACTGTTGCTTCTAAATGCAGTAAAACAAAACCAGAAATATTTTCTAATAAATGAACTTACAGTTACTGCACACTTTATGCCTAGGAGTGTGAGTAAATATGTTGATTTTTTTCTTATGGATTTAACTCAATGAAAAACAAACAGCAATGCCAATAGTATCTTTATTTCACAAAATAAAAGTCAGACAATGTATAACGACATTTAAAAAACYCACACAACCACCTAAAAGTGCTTTAAAGTCTGAATATAAGTGAAGCAGCTCCAGGAGCAGCTCCCCTGCCTCTGGCTGCCTCCACACGGTTAGCGGGGCAGCTGGTCCTGACAGGTGGAGGAGAAGGTGGAGAAACGTCCAGGAGCTCAGCTGCTCACTTGTTGAAGGTGACTCTGAACAGAAAACCAACAATTAGCCTCAAATATGGTTAAAATTAATTACTATTTACAATAAATGTAGAGCTGGGGTGTTGTTTTTAGCCTGGATTGCTAACTAGCAATAGCCGCTAGCTGCTAACTAGTTAGCATTGGAAACGAACATACACAAAGGAACCATCGGAGCAAACGTTAATATATTTTTAGCTTCTTCCAGCGCGCTGCCATCGTTTGGAAAATCTCAACTTGCTCTTAATAAACTGCGTACGTCATCCAGGCTCCTCCACGCCCCGAACGGTGCCGGTCTCAGTACCACCTCGAGAGGAGGTCTGAAAAAGTGGGCCGAAAGTGGGCGGGAGCCACAGCGAAAATTCATAAAACGGGTGTGGAGTGGGGTGGAGCCAAACCGAACCGCGTAGGTGGAAAAAGGGCTTCTGGGTCCTGTTGGACCGGGCCTGGTCCAAGAAGACTCAGATCATMATCCCCAGTCCTSTCTGAGTCCTGTTGGACCGGGCCTGGTCCAACAGGACTCAGATCATGATCCCCAGTCCTGTCTGAGTCCTGCTGGACCAGGTCTCACAGTGATAAGATTCATCAGTTCTTTCATGTTTTCTCCGAACAGAACCACATGGGTCTGCTGTGATCTCCACAGAACTGAAGGAGGTGAAAGCAGCGGGACGTCGGCGGTCTGCCTCCAGGAGGAAGTTGCACACAAATCCAGATCTAGAACCGGATCAAGAACCTAACCATGAGATGCTGAATCCTCAGCCTGAGCTGGATTCTGAACTCACAGAACCAGCTCCTGGTTCTGAGGAGGAGAACAGAACCTGCCCTGCTCCTGCTGCCCCGCCTACTGACCCTGACCCTGAGGAGGTTAACCCCCAATCTCCTACCTTGGACCTCAAACCAGATCCTGATCCATCAGAGGAGAACCGGTCCAGTCTGAGCCACAGCCTGGCCCTCGCTGAGTCTGTCAGCAGTCCCATCAGGGTCGCCATGGAGACAGATGGGGGTGGGGTCAGTCCCATGGAGCAGAGTCCCCACTGCAGTCCTCCGGTGTCCCCCTGTGTACGACTCGAGGATGAGGACTCGCTGTCCCCCCTGTTCCAGAGGTCCCTGTCAGAGGACTCAGGGGGGTCGCCCACCCCCAGCCTGGATCACACCAGTAGACGGTGAGTTTGTTTGATGTTTCCATGGAAATGACTTCACCTAGCTCAGATTTTGATTGACAGCTCACTGAGCCAATAGTAGCATCCACAGTGCTGTTCACAGATTAGAGCTGATCAAACTGGTAAATGTCCTCATGTATTCAGTCACAGYGGTGATTGAAAACAGGTTTTAAAGTTAGCATGAAGGTCGCAGGTTCTCCTCCTGACCATTCTGTGTGGAGTTCACATGTTCTCCCAGTGCACAGGTGGATTTTCTCCAGGTGCTCTGGTTTCCTCCCACAGAACTAAATCATCCATGTTGGATCATTGATCKCTTATAAAATGTCCCTAAGGCTTTATCAACCCGAGTTTTTCACACCCAAGTTGTTGGAGAAAAAAACGTGTTTTTTATGTATTGTTACCCACAGAGATGWWAAAAAAAAATGTGGACGTTCATTCAGTCATAAACCCAACTTAATAATGTAAAGTCTGCTTCTGCTCTGATGATGATGAAGATGAGCGCGCAGCAGAGCAACAGCTACGTTCAGCAGTAGGGCTGTGTATTGGCAAGAATTTGGCGATACGATACATATCATGACAGACGGGTCACGATACGATATATCCCGGTAT